TGCCTAGGCACATTCGCAACAGGAATACTCGTCACATTTCGCTTTGCATTCGTACACACAATTGCGCAAAATCGTATACTTTATTACGACAAAAACAGTTTAATTGACTGCGACGATTTCTCTGACTTTTGATTATTGTCTAGCGAGACGTCCCAAGAGCGAAAGAAGACGCGGCGACGACTTGACTGTGCCAGAATCTCGAGACGAACTTTCAACGAAGAACATGCGACAAGTGTGGACGGCATGTGTGTTTTTCTCATCCCAATAGCACCACAATGGTGAGTTTTCATTGATATGAAAAGATGATTAAATAAGACAAAGAGCGGTGAACAAGCACAAAATAATATATGCGAGAAAAATATCAACAGTGAGCTGGAGAAACTACGGTTTTACGAGTTTTTATTCATGGAAAATAAAAAGAGGAACAAAGAGGGAATTTTTTGTATTTTCTTATCTACAGGACACTGTATATGTCGGCATATGAGTGCACATTCATCAACATGTACTAAAGTGGTTGGATATGTAATTCTTCCTGGCACATGTCAGTTTGAAGATGTTTAAAGGCTTTGCAAAAAATCTGTCTTCTATGTTCCATGTTGCAAATTGCCGACATACGTACCGATATACTGACGCGAAGAAAGAGCGTGATTAAGACCTTCGATCCATGCATGCAAATCTTCGATCAAACGAAAAAGATGAAAGTTCTGTGATATCTTCTTAGAGTGAGTCCAACTGAATCCAAGTATAGCTCACAAAAGGAGAACACAGACGAACGGTTAATGTTCCTTCGACCGCATTACTGTACTTCGATAAATTAATTTTTGTTGGTACAATGATTTCTGTAACGGTAAAAGACAAGAAAAAAAATCATATAAATTGCGCGCATTACAAGCGACCAGCGTTAACATACCTTGTGAACTTCTTTTTGTTTCTTTGACGTTCGATTTGTTACTGGTGTAATTTCAATTGTTTTCATTTTTCGAATCATTTGTCTTGGCGTTGTTACCTGAGATACCAGAAAAGATAGCCGTATAGTAGAAAATGATGTTTCTGGTGTGACCAAGGTTTGATTTTGCGTTAGTTATTAATTGAGGTGTAACGGCTGCTTTTGATCCCTGATGAATAAGCACCATTTGCGACTACCATTTGGGATGTGGCGTTTGGGGAGTCGTCAGTGGTGTTAATGAAAAAGATAAATGATCGGGGGACAGTGTCCATATTGCATCTGGCCACAAAAGATGGGTGATATGCTTTGAATTTTTAAAGAAGTGATCTCGCACGTACTGCGTGTTTCTTTTTAGATGACCACACATCCACAAATCTTCGATGTCAGACAATAAAATAAGAGAGATACACGGATCACCGTCTGAGCACTGTGAGCACCGATTTGGCTGCATATTTAAATCTAAAACATAAGAATCCGTCTAGAGTGTGAGAGCAACTAATGCGTGCGCAATAGAAAAGCGATAGTAATACGACATATTTAAAGTGTAAGTACTTTTAACAGAAAAATAGAGAAAGTTATAAATGAGGGGAAACATATAGATTCGAAATTAGATAAGGGAGAATACTCTGCCAACAGGCCTTAAAGCAACATAATTGGCGTCATTGATATCCATCACGTTCAGACGCCAAACATATTTCAAACCCTTTGGTTCGGCAGTGCCAGGTATTTTTGTGATGATGGCGCGTGTTTGTTCATTAAATTGAATCACTATTGTGGTCTTTTGTACATTCCCATCGATGATGTTTGGTACATGTCTTGGGCAGGTTTTTAAAATTTCGATGTTTTTTTCCTAAAAGACAAAAAATAAAATATATAATGATCGTAGCGACTTACTTTTTTGTCCCGGTACCTTTGAAAAACTGACGTTTACGTTCAGATACTAAACACTGTGTGTATTTCACTGGCCCAAAGCGTCATATTTGTTGTGGTAGATGCAACAAAAAGTAGAATTTGGGTTTGATGCTGTTTTTCACCGTCATACGGTGAAAAACATTTAAATAAATAATTATGCAGTACAATACATCGTTGTAACTGGTTCACCATTTCTTGATGGACCTCGGCTGCACAAACTAAATTCAATTTAATTAATTCTTATCGAAAAACAACATTTTTTCCTCATATTTTATCATTAATAATTAATGACCTCAAAATAATGAGGCATTTCTCTGGCTAATTCATTTCGCCTTACTGTACGGTTCATCCTGATCGAAAGGGACCCACCTTCCACAAAACTGTAATTTTCACAACTGAATGATTCTCCCGAATCCGTCCTGCATACATTGACTTGCGTAGACTGGAACCTCTTTTAAATGTTCGTATTATAATATAGTTCAACTTCTGCTGTTTGTTGGTTCCTGATCAATCTCTTTTGCAATGTTCTACACGCGTTCATTGATACCAGTATTCTCTCGAAAGAAAAGAAAAAACATTCACTGCGAAGTCGCGCCATTATGATGACGCCGCTACCGTAGCGGCATCATCATATCTGCACAATATTTGCAGGCTGCAAATATTCCAAAAGTAACATCTTCGGGAATTAACCAAAATCTTGTGATAACCATTCTTTTATATGGATAATCTGATTTCCATATGGCGCCTTTCACCCTAACTCTCACACCGATGGAACTCATACTTACATATACTTCTCTTTGAAAATCAGACTTTTCATTGCATGCAGTAACGATCCTATCGAACATATATCCGTTTGAACTCAACATTTTTACACAGGCAGTAGACTCTAATACTTTAGGTGTTTTTCCATCTAGCTCTTCAGCATCTTTTTCTCATAGGGATGAAGGGTGACTTTTGTGAACCCCAAAAGCGACATCCAATTCTACCATTCTAAAAGCAAGTTCTCCGGTCTGAGAAAAACGTGCCTGTTTTATGAAGATGCTATGATAAAAGTTTTAACTCTCTCCGATCAGACGCTAGAATTCTGTAACAAGGGAAGAAATGAGGAGGAGAGCACTCTTGAGCACAGAAGGGAGTTTTTAATAGAAAAACTGTGATTATAACATTTTTGACGTCTCCTTCCTAACGATACCAACCCTTTTCCTTTTTTTCCCCACTTTTCCTAATTAACATTTGTATCATCTCAGTTATTTAATGAGCAATCGTATACAGAACTTATATTCAGCTACCAGTTTTAAGTAGGAAAACCTCGATGACTGATTAGATATTAAGTTCAGAAAACATGTTTATTGATTTAAAAAGCAGTATATGGTCTATTTAAACAATTCCTGAACTGACTACTGCAATAAGAAGTTATATCTGCGCACAAGTTTCAAACCCCCTTGAAGAAGAGTTATTGTCTAGGATGTCGTTGTTTTAAAAGAGACTTTGTCATAATAACGCCTACTGATATTGTATCGAAAAAATCTCTTCTCAAATGTCTGAACAGTAAATTACTTATATATTTTTAACTTACAGTACTTCAACTATTTTATAAATGTTATTTAAAGTTTCTTTACTTGAAAGAAGACGAAATTTCAGTCGTACTCCATTTCATTTCATGTGTAAATCCACTGTGAAGATCTTGTGTTGTTATTGAGGATGATATGATTGGTGAACGGCGTCCTCTATATACCCTAGTAAAAATATTAGACATTTCTCAAAATTATTTTACTAAGAGCTTACTGTTTAAGATCTTAATAATGTTTAATCACTCTGCTTCCATGCACTCTTTTGTTTGCCCTCATTCATCTATATAAGGAACACTGAAAATATGAGTCATTTTACGGTTATTTTTCTTCCAGACTCTGCCATTACTTGCTGTCTCGAAAGTGTACAATAACCTTTAGAGAGTGCTCATGCAAGTCAAGGTCCATAGTTGGACACCCGAAAATATGGAATTTCTCTTCATTCCTCAATATTGTTCAACTGCTGCTTTGGGTAATGCGGATTAAAAATTCTAAGTGAATCTTGAATGAATATTATTACGAAAACATCGTCGTTCTCACTATTAAGATCCTAACAGATTCTTATCTTCAACAATACTTAGACAATATAATCTTAGTAAGATTGGTCTAAGATCTTAGACAAAATGTAAGCGAAATCTTACTAAGATCTCAGTAAGATTCGAGTAAGTGTTTCACTAGGGGAAGTTGGTGTTGAAGCATTATCCTCATCATCAATTTCTGCCAAATTTTTACTTGTTGGTGATTTAGTGGTCGTCTGATTTTGAATTCGATTTGTTTCATAAACATGCATCCTTAAAATAATAAATCATTTTCTATACAACTTAAATATTATATCTTCCCATTTTTGATTCGTATTGTTTGTTCATCGATCGAGCCTTATCTTGAGTAACTGGTTTATCAACTACTGACCGTAGATCACTTGCTGCTTTAGATTCATGATATGTAGTTAGATGCCGACAGCAACTAGTATGTGGCATAACTGTATTTTTCTCAAACTTTTATCTGAAAAAGAACATCTCTTGTAGTTGTGTATCTCTCTCTATACTAAAGCAAAAATAATCAGTAAATTCTATACGAGCGCAAACAACCACACACTACATCCCTTTAACTCGAAAAGTGTCAAAAATGACAAATTCTATGGATAACACTAGTAGCTTTTCACAACGAGTAACAGTGTCACGCTGTGTTACCCGATCACAAACAGGCTGTCTACTTAAACTTCGAACAACTACAACCCTTGAACAAAGTATAATTGAAGAAACTGTTGAGCAACTCTTCTGTATAAAAAATAAAATAAAAAATAACTCAGTTTATTTATATTGAAAAATCAGCTGTCGGGAAACATTACTCTAATACTGAACATATAATTAGAGATAATAACTTTGGAATTGTGTTACGAGAAAAACAAAGATATAAATTGCTGGTTAAGAAATCGTTAGTTATTCGGGCTAATTTATCCATGCTTAATGGTACGGATCGTTCAGTACCACTATACGTGTATTCTGAAAGGGTAAAATCAAGTTTGTGGGATATAAGAATTCCTAGAAAAGGTTCTGGTGGTTAGTATAGTATAATCCTCATCCCCTTATCAACATCAACCGGTCAGAAAAACGTTTTGACCGGTTCTGTTCAGCGTATAAAAAGTCGATTTGATAATGCGACAACAATAGCTTGATAAAGTCCCTCTAAACGATATCGTTTCTTCGCCGATAAAGAATGGACGACGCATCTCCGACACTCGTGCAAGAAGGAAAAAGATAAAATCGGCAATCGGAAGGCCCATCCACAAGCACACTCAGGTATCTCATGAGCTCTTCGGGCGCAAACGCACTTCTGATCGAATACAAACGAAAGAAATTTTTGTCTCTACTTCACAAAATGTACTTTGGTTTTTAAAATTTTGAAAGATTTTTTGTAAAAAATAAGGATCCTACTTTTAACTAAAACAAAAGCCAGTACTTACTTTTGTTTCAAGTTATTGACTTTCGCATACAAAAGTAAAAGTTATTCCGATCATAATTTTTTCTAGATCCTAGTGGAAATTAGAGAGGAATTTTTAGAACGAAAACATATCTAGTTAAAATTTGTCCCAATCATGGGATGTTTAGACAAGATTCTTGAAAGATCACTTGGGTTTGAAGAAATCCTGATCGTTTATTACATCTTAGAATGTTCTGGAATATTGCATCATATTAGAATATTTCAGAATGCTGTATTATCGTTTTAATTTCTATGACCTAACATTATCATTGTAGTCTATAAAAGATCGCTTGAAAAGTACTGCATATGCTTCAAAAGGATTGATGAGATATTTATTTTATAAAATTTCAAAGGTGCACTTTGTAATGTACTGAACTTGATAGTGAACACAGTACAAATATGAGTATAATATATCAGAGACCGAATCGGGCTTTAGGTGGATGACTCGAACCCGAAAGTTTATTAAGCGAACCCGACCCGATCCGAATGATCCGAAAATTTTTCTTAGTTGACCTGAGAATAATCCGAAACAGAAAACCATTTCTGTCCACCATGTACAAAAATCATCCATGTTTACAAATACAAAAATCACCCATGCTTTAATTAACGTGAAGATTAAACGAGAGACCCGACTGCGCTTCTAATTCTCTAGTGATTCTTAATAGAAGGGCTACGTACTTATTTTGGATGAAGTATAGTCAGATTCATTAGAAGCCATTTTTAACACAAAAAACAGTCAGTTCTTCGACGAACTGTCTATCAATAAAGGAAAAAGAGTTCAGTTACAGATATATGAGAAAAGAATGCTGTATACGAACGAGAATTACAAAACACGTTTTCTGTATATTTTTCTTTTCTTTCTTTGCTTTCTTTGCAGAAAGGAAAAAAACAATGTACTTCTCTTTTCGATAAAAAAGATATATGTTTGGAAATAGAAGAGTGAATTGTAACCGAAGAAACTCTCCTGATTTGTTTTCTAGTGGCAAGACCCGAATAAAACCAAAAAAATTTTTCTCTTTTACCCGACCTGAACCAATATTTTTTACACTGACGCGAAAACCCCGACCCGTTTCGGTCTCTGTAATATATAAATAAGTCCAGATTAGTCATCTGTGGAATCAGAGAATTTTTGAGATTCAGACACTCTAGGTAGATTTTTTTTCTTTTACGTAATTTTTTGTACAAACTTTTCTTACTTTGTCCACTGGATTTTTCTTTTAGTTGAGGAATACAAATGTATTTTAATTCAACAAGAGTAAAGATTAACTATGTATAATATCTACAATCATAAAAATTAAAACTTTTACAAACACACACACCTATAGTTGAGACAAAACTTACGAGCGAAATGTGAAGAACGAACAAAAATATCTGTTTGTTACAATCTCATTTAAAGGAAATTACGAAAACGAAAAGACAGCGAATACCTTCATAGTTGATGATATTCACGTTTTACCTGATAGGTTCGCTAACTAATGTAGAAGGTGCCGAATCCTACATTTTCAGTGAAACTCAATGAGCCGAGTTTTCTCTGGCGGTAATGTTTGGATAATACTTACATCTCTCTTATATTATTTCTCTGAAAAATCTTTTCCTGCCTTATTGTGCTCCTCAGGGCTGGTTCCAGCCTGGGTCGCAGTAATCAAAATCTTTTCTTTTTACATAAAATTCACAATTTACTACCCTATTATTTTTTCGTTTCCGTTTTACAAAGCGTTGCTGACGATTGGGTAACCATGAAAGCAAGAAGAGTAAAACTCCAGGAGCACTGCTCCTAAACCCATGATGAGTATCTAAGCCGTTTAAGGGGGGGGGGGGGGGGGGGCATACCCCAAAAAAACCCCACAAATTTGGGATTTTTTTACAGAC